TAGCAGCTACCATTATGTTACACAGAATGGTATGGAGAACAGGAGCAGAAAAGCAGACAGGCAAAGTTAAACTGATTTATACTGACCTGATGAACAGCTAGTAGCTGTTCTAGTTGTTTCAAAACACAAAAATGGGAGCTCAATCAAAGAGGAAATAAATATGTCTACAGTTCATGAGCAGCCTTGCGTTAGAAAGTAAAGTGTGTTAAAATAGTTAAAGCTTCTTACATTAAAACACATTTCCAAGAAAGGCAGTGATCGAAATAAAGGAAGTTATGGTTTCAAATTTCCATTCCCCTAGAGAGAGGATTTCAGATCAGAAGTGTATACCCTGAGCAGAACAGTGACTGTGAGAAAGACTATAAAATGACTCTAGTTATGCATTATAGATTCCCTGGCTTTGTTCCACTCATTGCAACCTGTGATGCAGTACCCCCAAATTCAATACAGTGGTAACAGTATAGTAGTTACATGAGGAAAGTGCAGTACCTGTTGTAAGAGTGCCAATAGGGGAGCAGGAACATACCTAATGTTAGAAAGATGGAAGCTGGAATTTGAAGAAGGTTATAAAGCATAGAGGCCGAGGATTCAGTTTGAATGTATGAGAATTGGGTTCAAATGCATAAATTAATCCAAGTTGGCTGTTGACTGTTTTGACTGTTGCACTTTTTATGAGATATTTCAAATAATATAGTTTGTGTTTTATTTAGAACAAGGAAAAAAAATTGAACATCTTTTCCCATGCAGCAGAATTCAAGTTTTCTCCTTTTAGCTCTTTGCATGCAGGAATTTGCAATTCCCTAATGGACTTTCTGTACTTATCATGGATTTGCATTAAACTCATATGTATTAACTATTGATTCACTTTTTCATTCATCCCATTTGAACTGCTGATGTGGTAGGAAAAAAACAACATCAATATTTATTTTAAGCTGCTTTACTTTGGAGAAAGTCGAACCTGCAGAGGAAAAAAAGAGTTGACAAGGGGCAAATTGTTTAGAATCACTGGGAAGTAAGAGAAAAGAAACAAGTGCTGAAAGAGGCTCCTAAATGTCAGGTCATAGCAGCATCACCAGGAGAATACTTTTGTGTTTTTCTGTGACAGTGTGTACCTTGGTGATCTTTTTCAAGTGACCCAGGTCTTGCTTCTCTCATGAACATAACATAGCAGAAAATTGCTTCAGTGTCAGAAAATAAACTATTCAAAAGACAAATTATTTTCCCCTAAATGTGGTTCACAAACTCTCCATGAAAGTATAGCATATGGAGGAAATGAATGGCAGGGTTAAAAACCTGAATGACCAGGTCACCTGCTGTCAGCCTATTGATACTTATATTTTTTAAGCTGCCCTTTTTCAATCATACTTCAGTAATGACATTATCTGCACAGTGTGAAGAGTAAGAAATGGAACACTTGCTGAGTGCTGCTTATGAAAGAGCAGTACAGGGCAGTTGAAATCATATTTTCAAGGGCTTTTAACTTTGCCTGAACAACAAGCTTTCTCTTTTTTTATTATTATTATTATTGCTTTCCCTTTTTGCTTTTATGTTAAATGTTGCAACTGGTATCTGATGCTCTGGAGTCATGAAATAAAACAATAGACAGAAAACGTGGGCTTTATCTACACAGATTCTGAGGTTTCAGTGAGGCTGGATGAGCTGAGGAAGAGAGAAATGAGGGACCTTAGGACTTTAGGTCAACATGGTCCAGACTAGTTTCTAACATGTTTTTTGAGCAATTTGTCACAATCCTAATGTTAGTTAGAAAAGCCACAGAAACATTGTTCTGACAAATGGTGCTTGGTACAGAACCTCGTATTCTCAGTTTCAGAATGCCAGTATCTCTTTTTGGTTAGTCTTACTGAAGTCTTAAATAAAAATCCCATGTTAAAGACACATGTGAAAGCCCATTCCTACACTGAAGCCAGCCCCTTTTTTGCCTTATAAGTACTTTTTTGTTCTGGTGTGCTTTGGTTTTGATATAAACAGTTTTTTATTATTTAGACTGGGTTCTTGGTAAAAAAATAATTAATTTTCTTGTTGGGTGAAGTATTCACTGAAAACAAATAAATATTCCACCCAATACTCCTTTCCTTCCCTCTACGTGGTGCTAAAGGCTGTTACAGTGTGGGAATGCCAGTGTCAGAGAGAACTGAGAACATTCCTTCCAATGGATGAATTTACTCCTAAGAAGTCAAGTGTGATATTTCAAGAACACCAGGGATGATAACAGATGGTCTTAGTGTTGCAATTATACATAGTTCAGTCTAACCAAATGAGCGTGTGGGGCATTTTGAAAGAAAACAATACTGTACAAAAGAAATGTGCTGATAACATGACTGTTAGACCTGGAACGTAACAAATGAGATGCAATGTATGAATTCCAAACCTGTGTAGTCAAGTAAATACAAGAACTTCAGCTATAAGCCAAGGACTCCAGCTGAGGAAGCCAAAGGAGCAAGAAGGCCTTTGGAACTTTAATTGGAGATTGGTTAGGGGCCAGCTGTAAGATGCATCTGTGAAAAAACCTAGATGTATCAGCTGAACCTCTTTCAGCTGAGGTAAAGTCAAATCTCATGCAGAATTCTGGGTATATTCTAACAGAACAAGAGCTGGGCATAGTCCACTCTCCAGTGATCAAACCGGAAGAATAAAAACTCTGGGGGAACGGGGGAAGTATAAACAAAATAACCAAAAAAATCCCCCAAAACAACAAAAAAACCCCGAACTCCCAACAAAGCCTAAAACAGTGTTGATGCACTAGTCAGTATACGTTTATATGTATAACAATATTTAGCAGTATTTATATATATATGAATAAAAATAAATATTGTCTGAAAATGTGAATATTAGGAATTTGCACTGAATGGTACTGAACCATTCTTTGGATCATGTAGATATAAAATACCGGAATTTAAATGATTGTATCCAACACAAACAATATTTTTTGGTTTCTGCAATGGAATTTTTAGCTTAATCCTTCCCATAAGCAGTACATGAAACAGGCACACTTCAATTTTATAACTATGTTCCCATACACCATATGCAAAATGGTCATTTCATGCAGCCTCAAACTCCCAGATGAAGTGAGGTTTGGTGACTGACTGTTGTTTTTGTTGGACTATCTTTGGTTATGTTTGTCAGAAGGAATTAAAAAGTAGAAATGTCACACTATGTGGTTGTGTTCAGTAAGATATCTAAACTATTAATGCTGTTAGTGCATCACTAGAACAAAATAGTTTATTGATTTGCTCAGGTATTAAAATGCATCAATTATGCACTACAGTAGGGATACAGATTTGCATAGATCCAAAAAATGTCAATTCCCTTCAGAGTCAAATGCAGACAACAACACATAGAAATACTCTTCAGAGGAACCAAGAATTTCAAAGATGTTGTAAGTATAGACTTTGATAAAGTATAAAGGACAGGGATCTCTCCGCCCATCCTTTCCTTGCGTTCTTTGAACAACTGAGTTCTGAGATTTAATTTTTAGAGCAGTGGGACTTTATCATTGATGTCAAACTTGTATAGGACATTTAATCAGATAACTTTCACAATCTTAATACAAGTTAAACTATGCCAGATTGCTGTATTTTCTCTTTGAATGAGAAATAAAAATGTCCATTTGCGATACACACAACATGTGTTTCAGATCTGAAAACCCCAAGCAGTCTTACAGGACTATTTGCAACATTTGAGTATGTCCTGAATTTAGCAGTAGCAGTCTTGTGCTTTAACACTTAATTATGGAAAATAGTGATATCACCATGAATTTTTTAGGCTTGAGTATATTAGTACCAGAAGTTAAAATTCCCTCTGAAGGTGGTGATAGTAGCAAATGATGTAAAATCTCTGAAAAGCACTGAGCTGGTGTTTTTTAGTAAGTCTCTCTCCATGTTGGACAGGTTATCTCACATTTCACATAAGTAAAGGTGTTCACCTAGGTAGCTGCTGTGAAGCAAATATCTCCAAGTCAGTCTGTATGAATATCTCTCAAAGGGGAAGCCTAAAAGTGGATGTTCTTTGTTTTCTTTTAAATTAGATTTTATCTACCTGTCCATAAAGTATGTGATTTTATTAAATTCTTCATTTTGTGTAGTGTGAAACAGTGACTCCTATCTACAAACCTCTGTGCTTTGGGGAGTCAGGTTGTTTCTGTGCTTCTCACTCTGTCTCCCTGTTTTTTTTGTAAAGAGCTTTATTTGTGTGTATGTGTGTATTTGGTGGCCTTTTTCAAGTGTCATATTAGAGATAAAATTATAAACATTTAATAGATTGATATATTGAGGCACAATGTGTGTTAAATGTGTGTAAATCTAAGCTTGCAGCTTATTTTCCTAATCAGTCTTGTCTTCTTTTCCACTGGCCCTCATTTTCTCTGAGTAATATTGCAAGAAGGGACAGTCTTTTTTTTTTCAAACCATATGTTTTCTGCAAAAAAAATTTATGTCAGAATTATTAAATATAAAGCAAATATATAATGGGTTGTAAAATGCTCAGTAATGCTAAGTATTGCAAGGTTGTCTTGTTTTCATACATCTTCCTTTTATTACTTCCAATATCTTTCTATTATTGGCATTATTTATCTACACTGACTATTTTTATACTCTTGTTTTGTAGTTAAAATATTCTCAGTGAAGGCCAAATTATTGTGAGATTATAGTCTCTGCAAATGGTGACTTTTCATTTCTTCTTTTGTCTTTTCCTACACCTTTTTGAACAGAATATTTGAAATTACTCTCTCTAGTTCTACCACAGTAAATCATGAGACTTCAAATTACCTAAGATCAAAAACCTTTTTCAGGAAGGACTTGCATACTAAATGTATTAAGAAATGCATTGTAACTGTAAAAAGGCAAAGTGATGAATAAGTTATCAAAGGAACTTTTAACAAGAGTGGAAGTAATATATATCCCAGAGGAAGTTATTATGAGCCCATTAATATCACAAGCCAAAGTTTAACTTACTGAATATAATCTAAATTGCATTGAACTCACCAACTATCAAGGGAAATACTCAGTTGCTGTGTTCTCGTGGTTGATTCATTCCTTTGATTTCTCAGAATATCCTTCTTCCGCCTCTCTTTGTTTACATGAACAGATCAAATTCAATTATACAAGCCACAGTGATTTGTAAAGCCATTGTTCATAACAGGGTTATGTTCCTTTATGCCTGTGAACAATAGAGAAAATTTCCTTGATGATCCATATGTGATGCTTCCAAGCCTTAAGTTGCTGGGACTTAAGCCGAACAGATCCTCTGAACATGTTAGGGCTTGGATGCCCTCTTCACGAAAGGCTGGGAGCTAGTGTGGCCAGCAGAGTGCTGGAGCAGCTTCTCAGATTGCTGGAATTGGTACTTTCCAAGTTGAAGGCCTTCTTGAGCCTTCTGAGAAACGATGGCCAAAGGTACCTCATAACTTATCCATGTACAAGTAAGAAATGGTGGTTAAGGGAGTGATTTCCCTGTTGCAAGTCAGGGCCACCTGTGTGAGCATGTCTGATGGTGCTTGTGCTGGGCAGCTCAGCTTGAACAGCCCTTGTCTCATCTGTGCCGTGCCATCCGTCACCCAGCAGTCAATAGCATCAGAGCCTTGCTGCTGTTCCCACTCTGACACCTAATCTGTCAGCCCCTGAGCCATCTCCTAGCTGGTGACGGCTGTTGTCTGACATGCTTTCCCAGCAGCTAGGTGACGTCATGACTAAGTATGACTCTATTGATGCTCTTTTCATTCCCTTTACCCTCATTTGCCAGGGGATACCATCAAACAGCTGTTTACTCATGGGCTGTGCCAGGTGAGCACAGCCACATGCTGGGTTTGCCCAGCCCTGCTCCAGCTTTCTTTGTGGCACACGGCTTTTCTTTCTTACCCTTTTTGGTAAAGAGCTTAGCTTATCCTTATGAGTTAAATTAACGCATCCTTAGAATAGATACTGTGCTACATTTTACTACCAGCGTTGATTTAACTTGGAAACAGTTAACCTCACTTGTTCTCACAAAAAAAGCAGTATTGTTTAAAGACAGGCTTTTGCACTTTTCCTGTTTGGGAAGGTGAGACCTAGTTCTGGTATATTTAAGGAAAATGTCTAGGTCACAGAACAAGAAGTTTATCTTTGAACTGACTTGCCTCCAGCAGGTGGTAGAGCAGGGGCAGGGCTGCACACTTGGGCTTTTCACCCCAGGTGCTTAAAGCTTTTGCCACTATGTGCTGCTCTGACTTTAGAAACAGGTCTTTTGTAGTACTCTTGCACAGGCAAATTAAGCAATAATATTGGGTAACATGAGCATGTTAAAATTCTTCATGGCACATAAACGTATTATTTGAAATATTCCTTACCTAAATACTGCTCTTGTGCATGCACTTACTGTTGTGAAGTGGTGAGAGGAGTTCCACTGCAAAGTATACTAGCTACTGAAAGTGGCCAGTCTTAGCCTCCCTGCTGCTGTGAGCTGAGTCAGAGAAGGGGATGACTAAGGCAATGTCACCAAGTTCAGTGGTCCCCATTTGATCACTACCAAATACCCTTCAGTCACAGGCCTGCTTTAAAAAAGCATGAACATGGTCTAAATATGAAACAAAGGAACTTGACCCTTCATGCTTAACTCGGGCAAACTCCCAGCACCCAGGAGGTGTTTTGAAGCAGTAGGGAATGATTCCTGAATTGTTTCTTCCCTTAGCAGGAAGGCAAGTTTACAACGTTTCAATGAAGCTTTGCAGTTTCCTTGTGTTTTTATCCTTTAAGGGGGGCCAAATGCTATATGTCTTATGGAACTAGCTCCTTAACCAACCGCATCTGAAATATTTATTGGTGCCTCAATTACATTTTGGTAGGTGATTACCCTTACTTTCCCTTTCACACTCACCAAATTAAAACCTTATCCTAAGATATATAAGAAAAAAAATCAAATAAATAGGATGAACACTCAGACAATCCGAATCCTGCAATGGAAAGGATAAAACCAAGTGTTGAGACAGTTTTGTAACTGTTAGATTCAGTCACGCAAAAGCTTTTTGAGGGTTCTACTTTTTATGTATCCTTGCTTTTCTGCATTTTTAGAGCAGTGCATTCAACAATTGATCATACAATACATACCAAATAGCCAAGCAGCCCTAGTAGGTACTTATTATGTATGCCCTTCACATTTTTTTGGCAGCTTCAGTTCTATGACTCATATTATCATGAGCTTTCAATTTGATGGCCTTTATCTATCCATAGCTGTTAAAATGATTGCAAAGTTTGAGATCCTTTACTGGCACAACTTAATTCTATAACCCAATTACATCAGATGGTGTGAGCTTTTTCTTGAGCATTCTTGCTTGTATCCCTTATTGCTTTATCTTTAGCTTTTCAAATGTTGAAGTTTGAGCAAGCCTAAAGTTTCTGTTTTATTATTATGGACTGCAGCTTTTTGCCATTAAAATGTATTTGATAAACGCTTAATGGTTAAAAGAGCTAAAATAGAGTTTTTAATTTATCCATGACAAACTTGAAATGTGTTTTTGCAATGTGCATCAGATTCTTACCAGCATGGCTGTATTAGATAAACATACCCTGCTGGGTCACATGTGGGCTCTAAAATATGCATTTATATTTGCTGTTGTTTTCCCTTTCCAGATAGAACCCTTTCTGTGCACCTTGCATATTGTTTTTGCTTGCAGTGTGTCCGTGTAGAATGAGAAAGTGTTCTGAGTGAGCCTGTCTGTATTGTTACAGTAGAAGATGGTATATATCGTTTTAGTTTACATTGAGCTGGAAATGCTAAACAGAGTGACCATCTGTCTATGCTTTAAGTACACTCTAATCCCATTTATCACTTGATTCCTGTGTAGAAATCTGCTCCTGCCCACTGCTGGAAGCAGAACAGTAAGTCTGTTCTATGGCATTTCTGCGTTTATGTTTCCAGTATCAAGGCATAGAATCCCAAGGAGGCAGGAAGAGTTGTAGTTTAGTTTGTTATATATATGCAAATGTGAGAGCAGGTTAACTTTAGCCATTCGTTTCAGGGCAGGGTGCAACATTTGTGCCTGCCTTGCATTCTGCTGCTCTGTCTCCTGACTGCTTAAAGCACCCAATCAGACTGGTGTTTGGAAAGCTCTTGACAGTTGTCGAATACTAGGCTATTACAGTGATAACTGTCTCTGGAGCCACATAACGGTAGCTTTTCCTTTGGTGTCTTTTATGTAACAACTAAATCTTGATGACAGTGAGTTTTACTCCTTAAAGAATGACTGTGATTTATGTGATTTATACGACGACATTGCTATCATGCTTAACTGAAGTGGGATACTTTTTAATGGAAGGGAGTTTTGTTAACAACAGGGGGAAAACTCTAGAAAACCTGTACTAGCAGCAGATCACCCTTATTCTAGATGTAACCAGCTATAACTTCGCCAATCCACATTGGTGTCTGCAAGAAGTTGATTTTATAACTTGCAGTTCTTTTTGTGTTACAAATTCAGTTTATTCAGTGCTACATCTAGACAGTAGGAGAAATAATTCAAACGATTTTGAGAACTTTAATATGTTTGGGTAACTTCTTGCAGTGCATATTTCGTTACTAACAAGAGAATGTTGCATGTACTTGTGAGTTCTGAGCATACATCACCTAATTTTTAAAGTACATCAGCACAACTCGCATTAACCCTTTTTTATTTCCTCCAAAGTAAGAGATGCGCTGTAAATCAGGTTGACCCAGACTAAGTGAAAAAAGGAGCTAGTGTCAGAGCCAAGGTGTAATTCTTAATAATACCAGATTCTCATACATTTAATTTGAGCACAGCTTTTTCTTGTTCTGTCTTCTTTGCTAAGGAAAATCATTTAGGGAATACTTGTCTTCCTTGATTCTATTTGGGTATCATGTCAGATAGATCATGAAAGTTTAAACTTTACAGGAATTACGATGCATTTCTCTGGTCATCCGGCAGCACGGGAACTGGAGTTTTTAACTCCAATATTAGACAAATCATAGTGCTAAAGAGATTTGAGGGATGTCACTTTTCACTAGTATTTTCTATTAGTTGAGTTTTAAATGCGTAGCACTTATTTGAAGAGTTCCTAATGAAATACGATTGTGATGGCCATAATGACCTTTCTCTCCTGCTGAGTTCATGACATTCAGAGGAATTGAGTTGGATTTCTATTGCTGTGTTTCCAGTTTTGAATTTGTATCAGGTAAACTATTTATAAGTCAATCCCTTTTCTGTAACAAAGCAAAACTTTTCTGAAATAAAAGTTGCTTTTATGCTTTTTTTTTTTCTATCAAATTAAAATTATTTATTTATTACCAGGGCTCTGTGACTAAGAACACAATATTCAGGGTAACAGTGGATGTACCTGTGCCAGTGGTTTTAAATGCAAAGTGTGTTTTATAGTTAGGAACAGAAGTATGGAGGAGGCAAAATATTGGTTATTTTAAAACAATCACATAATCATGCTTTGAAACCTGTGCCCCCTTAGGATTTTCAAATAAAAAAGGTTTGCAGAGTTTTTTCTCATTAATGAACAGGGAATTTATGTGTATTCTGCCAGTTAGCATTAATGAGGGCATATCCAAATAAATCTCCTATAACACTGAGGGAATCTCATGGAGTATAAACCACCAATGGCATTTTTATACAAATGGAAATGCAAAAGTATCTCTTTATAGACCTCATCATTTAAAGTGAGAATGCTGCATTAGGTGTTTATGGTGCATAGCCAGTAATGCAATTTAAGTTTTGTTTTTTTTCTCCTGATCCAAAAAAGTGGTGAAATGTAACAATTTTTACTACAAGTTATTACAAGTGCAGTGTTTAATATTACACTTACTATGGACATAATTTGTGCAAATAATTATATAAAATCTAAATACATATGAGTAACATTACGATGATGAACATAAAGCTCTCAAAGAATAGCTAAGTAACTGTGAAAAGTAACCTTATTACAAGAAAGTGTTAGTGGCAAAAACACAATTTGAATCTTTTCTGGGGTTTTAAAGAGAGAGGATTTTTTAATGTTCTACTTAAAGTTTGTGCAAAAAGACACTAGGTAAGTATGGCGAGTGCCTATGTCTAAGCCAAAATCTTTTCTCCTTCCCTGCCAAACATCTTGTTGCACACTGCCCTAGATGTCATATCTTTTGCTGTGCTGAGGAACTTCCTGTTTCCCAGTCTGTAGCAAGCCTTCCACTTCCAGCACTGTAACTTTGAAAAAAGCTGCTGTAGCAGTGTCACCTTTCCAGGGCCTCCATGGCAGGGTCCTTTCCTTCATTTCATGCTGCTGTTATTGTGGTCTTGCACCTGCAAATCCTAATACTGCTTTTAAGGCAGATTCTCATGGGAAGTGGATGTCACTCCTGTAAGAATCATCCTTTCCCTTCATTTCCTGCCTTTTCTTACTCGTATTTTATAAGCTCTTAGAATAGAGGAGGACTGAAACATAGTGCAGAATACAAGAAATAACAGTATTGGAATGCAAGGTTAAGGAAGAAAAGCAGGCCACTTGGCCTT